ATATATATATATATATATAAAGTCTCAAAATATTAAATTCAAGTATACTAAATAACTTTAGAGATGGCGTTACAACATGCAACCTTTGCATTTAACTTTAATTAGTAATCAATGTTATAGTGACGGCTGTTACGCGTAGTGTATGTGATGTTTTAATTTGAGTTACACAAGATTAAACTTAATGTTGAAAAAGATCTTTGTGAAAGAAACATTGAGGGCTGACAGGAAAATCATGACGTGATATTTTTATAGAGAAACGAGAAAAATCTTATTTCACGCGAGAAAGATCTTTGTTGAAACTTCATTCATTTATTCATAAAATTATTAAAATTTGAATACTTAATATTTACTCGAACTTCGAAGTTGATAATGATAATTGATATAGTTCTTTAATGAAATTTGTCGTTGATTTTATTATAAATTTATAATCTGAGCTTTGTAGTATTAGTAAAGCTAAGCTATAAACTTTAGTGTCACTAATATCAGCAGAACTGTTGTAATCAATATTAACTGAAATAAACGCATACATGATATAGAACTTAGATGCTGGGTGAGTGGAGTTGATCAGTGTCAAGTTGTAGGCGTGGTGTAAGAGCTGGTAAGTGTATTTTTATATATAATGTCAGGATGGAACTTTGTTACAAGTTTCCATAAAAAAAAACAAAGACGTGGAAAGAAAAATGGTGAAATATATCAAACTGTCCAAAAATATATTCATCTATATTTTTAAAAGCACAATAAAAACAATAACTTAACATTTTAGGACAACAAGGGACCTGTTGGTCCGTCTACTGATGATCTAGGCTGTCTCATCCAGTAAAACAAACTATTAAAAATCAAAATCAGCCTTATCATTCAAATATATAATAAGCCTTTCCTTAAACTACTTTAAATTTCCTGCTTCCATCACATCCAAAAGCAAACCATTCTGAAGACTATCTTGTTAGAAAAAAAATAAGCTGAAGATGGCATTTACCTTTATTCACAAGGAACATTTGATTTACCCAGACCTATTTAGCTACTTAACCATCTCAAATTTAATGTTAACCTCTTGTTTTCTAGCAACTGTTGGGACAAGGAATACTGGTTAAGTCTTCATTCGTAAAAGTTGAAGAAAACGTAGAATTTAGTAACCTAGCTATCTCGTAATCATTAGATATGAGCCTTCCATTATCATCCTTTATAGGTGCTACTTCCATCATAACATTTTACTTATGTTTAATGTATTTAAAGAAATACTTTAAAATTTTACAATTTCAACCTAACTAGGTTTTTATACACCCTATTTGGTTTCCTAATTTCTTGTTTGATTAACTTTTGATTTCCTGTACTATAAGCATTCAATGTAAACATCTTAAATTTATGATGCTTTTCTTTGATTTTACCCATTATACCCTTTATGAGACAAACTGTTTTTGTCATTTTTCAATTGCAGCCTGGGTGTTTTTAAAAATGAAAATTTGTTTTCAGAAGATATTAGAGCTACTATGTTTTATTATGTAAATATACTATGTAAATTACTCAGAAGACACCTACTTTTTATGTTCTTATAATACAACCATGTTATTTATCTATCACAAATATGAATTGTAAGGTGGCTTCAGATGTGGGAATAATTTTTATAATGTTTCTTTTCTGGAACATAGTGGAAATCATAGGTTTTATGATAAAGTTTTGTTATAATGAATCCCTTTGCTTCTGTCTTATGTGTGATATTTTGAGATAATAGGTTTTATGCTTCTTAATTTTTATGCAGTAGCACGATTCTTAGCAGCTGCAAATGATCTCTCAAATACCAAATATCCAGTAGTCCAAAAATTTGGATATTGATGAGTTACAATAATAATAATAATGATGTTAATTTCAAAAAATTATCACAAATTATATATATAACTAACATAATTATCATATTGATAGGTTATCAGTGTTCATGATCATGAAATTATGGACTGTCGGGTATCTAGTATTTCAAGGATTGTTCCCAGAAGCTTTTAGCAAACACACATGCTGATTAACACTTGATATTAATTTTTGTAGGGCAAAAGTTTTATTCACTTTTGAAGATATATCAGTCTTGTAATTTACTATTACTTATTGTCCAAGTCAAGTGGGAGGTGAATGTAGTTTATCAACATTTACATTTTTGAACTGTCAGGTATTTAGTATTTGAAAGATCATTTCCAGCTTCTGGGTATCTAGCCACTGTATTATACTTAAACAACCCTGGAAACTCCCATCTTTTCTTCCTTATAATTAAGCTCTGTTATTTGTCTGTGAGATTAGTGAATTTAAAAGTGGCTTTCGAAGTACAAGTAATTTTTCAGAATATTTTATATCCCCCTAACTGGTAAGGTACCTTGGAGACACCCGATTTTTTGTTCTTGTAATGTAGCCCAATGTTTTATCTTTCACATATATGAATTTGAGGGTGGCTTAAGGTGTGCAAATATTTTAGAATTTTTGTTTTCCAGAACATGTTTGAGCTGAAATATTTGATGCTTCCTAGCAGACAAATGATAAAGGATACACTTGTCTATTTATTTTGTCTCATAGTAAATCCATGTTTTGTTATTTCAAAAATACAGAGGAAGATGATATTTTGATATATTCCCCATCTTGCTTTCCATACCATTAAGTTATTTGATTAAAGAAACAGTAATTTTTATCCATGTTCATTCTGATCTTCATATAACCATATTAATTTTTAAGACAAAGTGGAAGGTTATACTGATTTTTGGCAAAAGGCCTCATTTGCAGTGTATACTGCAGATATAGTGTAGTTAACATATTACACATTCATTGTTTACACTTTTATGCATGACTGTCATGTGTACATGTTTTTATTCAGTTTCTGTGCTACAATTATATTTTATTTTCTATAAATATTTTATGGTTTGACAGTGTTTTAAGCATAAATAAATTTTATTATGAGTTTCAGTATTTTACTGTTTTTAATACACTTTGTGTCTGTTAATAGTAGTTAGGTTGGAAGAGTGAAGATGCCTTGAATTGCACAGATGTTTAAGTTCTGTTGGTACAAGTCATGGACAAACAGTTTTAGAATATAAGCTTGGGAATGCATAATTTGTAGCATTCATTGATGCTGGTTCTGAAATTAATATTATGTGAGTGTGCTCTTTATTCTATAAGATCAACTTGCAAACAGTTTAGTATATAAAAATATTAATTGAGTTGAAGCAGTTTCTGAGAGGTTTATCCTTTAATGAGACCCCAATTTTTTTTGTATGTGATGTGGGAAAGGTGACAAGAACATTTTAGATCAAGTTAAAAGCATCAGTGACCACTGTGTGATGTAAATAATGAGAGTTGAAGATGAAGTCTGCTTACATATCTAGCTACCATGCCATTTGTTGGTATATACAGCTTTAAGGATGAAATTTCAATGTCACTGTAGTCAGTAGATGTTAAAAACTTGTTTATGAAAAAAATCAGGCAGTAGTGTATCATTTTTCCCATGTTGATGACAGAGTCATTATATCTGAAAATCAAAGCACCGGTCATCTAGATTAGCAAAATTTCAATGATTCACTGCTCCAAGTGTAGTTACATAGCATTGTATGTAAACATTAATGTACTTCTAGCATAGTAAAATAATAGAAGTTAGATGACAGGCCACCTTGTACTAAGATTCAACAGGGTTGGCAGTGGCCCAGAGACCAACCATTATTACACTATAAGCCTAGTGATGCAAAAATCAACAGTCAAGCTTTTTGAACAGTTTCAAAGAGGATCAATGTTTAGAACAATACCCTTTGAAATATAAGAAAAATACTTTTCCTAGGAATCCCACACACACAAAAAACTTTGAAGGCCAGAGTTGGTAACAAGTCATTAAGGCCAAGTCTCAAACCAAGTCACAAGTCATTTTGTCCAAGTCACAAGGAATACTTTATACAGTTGATTTCTTCATCTATGTACTCCTTCATTCACTAACCATTGTAGAAAAATTCCCATACAGCTCCCAGAACAAAAACCTCAAAACTCAACTCACAAACAAAATTGACACCAAACAACAACATAACATTACATGCAGTTTACCATTTATCCCTGACATCAAAAAATAATCAACACTTGGAGAAAACTTCCCATTAAACACAAAATTCCTGTTGACTTCAAATTCACCCCAAAACCAAGCCCTAAACTAAAATCATTATCAGATTAGAATGGCAGAATACCAACACCATTTCTAAAATAAATGCAATAACTGTCCAGAATTCTACATTGGAGAAACTGGAAGAAAATTAGAAACTAGATTCCCTGAACATGAACAAGAAAATTCAAGAATGAATTTTTTTTACTTGGATTGTCAACAAGTCATTTAAGTTGAGTAGCAAGTCACATTAGAAGACGAAAGTTCCAAATAAAAAAAATTGCGAATTGACTCCAACTCAAGTCCAAGTCACATGACTCAAGTCTACAACTCTGTTGAAGGCAAGAGTGACACAGTACCAGCTCTGATTTCTAACCTGCCAATTACCAAGATTGGTTAACTGAATTGTTGGGTTACTGAGTAAGAGAAACTTAAAAGTTATCATTGGTTTCCAGTTTTAATGAATCTTTATTTTTAGTGGAGTACCTCAGGAGTGTGCTTTGACCTTCATGTTGATTATTCACATTATTGATATTTGCAGCAGTAAATTAGTAAAGTTTTCTGATGATAAGCTATTGAGTATTTCTAACTGTATTGAGGATACTGATATACTACAAAATTATTTTGATCAATTGGTAAGTTGGACAGATAGTTTGCAAATGACCTTTAATTATAATAAGTAAAGATAATGCATTTGGATTATCATAATTTGGATCACATTTTTAATGTAGATTGGAACCTACTTAATAGTGTGACTGAAAAAAAAATCTAAACATAATGTCAGCTAACATGTGGATAACAAGAAGCCATTTGGTCTTTCAAGGCTGTCCTTGCATATGACCTTTGTGTAAAGTCAAAATTTAAACCTATCTTTTATTTTTCAGGAAATCATCAGTTTCCTTCTAAAACCTGTTAGAAGTACTGGCCTTCACTACTGCAGATGGAAACTCATTCTATTAACCAGTTAATGTACTAAAAAATGAAAATGTTTTAACTGTAACCTAGCCTGTCTGTTCCAGATCATAAATTTGTGTTATCTCATCCTGTTATCTCCAGTATACAACATAAAGTATAAAGTAGATATTTATCTTGTTGATTCTCCAGATAATCTTGTAAACTTCATTAAGATGACCTCTTATCCTTATTTTCTCTATCCTTGGGATCATCATAGTGATTTAGTAACCTTGTTCTAAACCATTTTCAATAACAACAGCAGCTGTTATGGTGTGAACATGTTTTAGAAGCTGGCTGGGATACAACAAACACAATAGTGGTTGGAATACTATTTATATAGGCCATTTGTTACAACAAAATTTCTGTGGTTTGAAAACTTTTCAGAATTAATTAATTATATTTGTCATAAGACATTATGTTAGGCCTGTTATATTTTTTTTTACAAAAGATTCATACCAAATGTCCTGAAGAACTCTGGATTGAGTGCAATGTGTCGTTGGCAATGGATATGCTGAACATAGTATGGTTGAAATTACTAGGAATGTGGTGTTAAAAAATATAATAGGCCTAATATAATGTCTTATGACAAATATAATTAATTTTCAATAAGTCAAAAGGAGACCAAAGTGTACATAGAATTCCAAGTGTGGTTTAACTAGTAACTTGTGTAGCTATAATCTCCTCTTTTGACTTGTAATGAATGTCTGTAATATACCCTTAAATTTCTACTATCTTTACTACTAACAACAGAACAATATTTCGTTGGTTTACATAAAAAATGTCACATAAAAAAATTGTTTAATCAAAATTATGATTAAATTAATTAATGACACAAAAACATCAACTATTTAAAATTAATGATTCCAAATATTTCTATTTTTGATTATTCCAACTATCCAAGTAATCAAATTATTGCTTTTATGATTTCACTTTATTATTGTGGATAAATGTAATGTGTTCAGCTCAATCAGTTAGTGTCACAATTCAGAAAAAAAAATTAGTTAATCACAATTAGTGTTTCAAGTTATTACTATTTCCAGTTATTCCAACTATTGATGAATGAGCCCAATTAATCAGTTATCAAATTTGTAAACTTCAACTAATAGCCCATTCCTAATACCAAGACATCGTTCCACAACATAGTTTCTCTATCAGTCTAAGCATGGTATTAAGAATCTATTTGTCACTGAGCTGGAACACCAGTTGCCTGGAAGCAATGTTCATGCAGAATATCCTTGAAAGGATCAAAACACTGGAATCATCACCATGATGTATATCATATTATTTTGACCTTCTTATGAACATGATTACACCACAATTGTTTAAAAATAATGTCATTTGTAAGTACTGTTTTTTAGCACAGGACCTATGCTGTAAACATTTAACATATGATACTACTAACAATGAACAGGTATTGACCTAATAACAGGCTCTTTCATTAGTTGCAATTTAATCATATCTAGGGTATGTAGGGAAACCCTGTTTCTTTCTGAGCATTTTTGAAAAGATGCACAGTGTATGCATTTGTAAATGATTTCTGTATGTTGGGAAGGGTCAGTACTGTGTTAGAAGTTGGCTAATACTTGATTGTTCTTAGGAAAACTTACCATAGTTAGAAGGATACTGGCTTTCAGTGTCTTCTGTGTGAATGTTTACTTGTGGAAATAAAGGAGAAGTCATTTAAATATAGTAGTAGTATTAGGAGTGAGTGTGTGTTTTGATTGGTTAAATAAAATTTGCTTGTTATTTGCTTATTGTATTTTATAAATCTAGTTTAAGTTACCAAAATGTTTTAACAAACTTTTGTAGTATGTAGTTTGTTAAATTATGTATTGGAACTTAAAGCAAACTGGAAAGGTTATGTAGTTTTTAAGTACAAATTTATACATCTAGTAGTAAGACTTTTGAGTAAGGCTATAGAGATCAATTCTAAATATAAAATACAATGCCTTGTTCATATAATCTTAATTTTAAATAAACATTTATATAAAATTGATGAATATTAATATCAGTAAAGCAGCTAACTTTATTCACTAAAATTCTGATTTGGCTTATTATAATCATCTCTTGACTGTGATTGGCATATAAATATTGAAAGATAACCATAATTCCAACATTTGGTAATTTAAAAGTTATTAACATAATTCTTAAGGTCTGAAAAATTAAAATCTATGTATATAATTGGCACAGAATCATTATAAATAGTTAAGTTGTTAGAACTAAGTGATATTCTGATATATTTTTCTGTTTTCTTTTCAACAGAAAAATTGACTTCATCGAATTAGTAATCAAATGCTAATTGTATAATGTTGAAGAAGCTAAAAGAATTGGGAAATTGATCTTTGCTTATGTAACTGAGATCAGTGAGTTTTACTGAAAAGTTTGATTCAGGACTGTAGGATGGAGACAAAAAACAGTGAACCTATAGTGGAACACGGTATCGTTACAACAGATCTAGAATGTTTGGAAGCTGTAAAAACCACCAAGTCTCTGGTTTATGTGAAAGAATCTACTGTAGATCATCATACTGACAATTTTGTAAACAATGACTTTGAACCATCATCATTACAGGTTAAAAATAGTGTTCGTTTAGTGGAAATATCAGAAACTGCATGTGGAAACATACAACCAGACACTTCTTGTGAATTGTCAGGAACCACAACAGGAGAAAACTTGTTAGAGTTCAATCCTATCGAAGGAAGTAAGTGTGCAGCAGAAATAGAAATTCCTTTAATTTATCAAACAGGACAGCATGAATATTCATCAAGAAATGGAGCAGCCACAACTACTGTAAACAGAGTTGTGGATACAGTTAATGAAAGTATACATATTTTACAAGAATCAACATCAAGAAATCTCTCAGTAAACATTGTTGAAGCTTCAACTTTAAACATTGAAGATTTTGAAACAAGTGTACAATGTTACGAACCTTCATCTAAACGAAAACGAAGGAGACCTCAAAAATTAATCTATTTTTCAGAAGAGAAAAGAATGAAAACAAGTAATAAAAGAAAGGGACAGAGAGTAAAAAGGTTAGCAAAAACTCAGTCATGGGAATGTTCTTATTGTGATGCATTTTTTAAAACCAAAGTTCATCGTGACAAACATTTTAAACAAGCCCATCAATTTCAGTGCAATTCATGTGATCAGGTATTTTTATCTAAAACTGATTTTGAGTTTCATGTTAGTTCTGTTCATGGAAGCTTGAATGGAAATAGTGTGCCAAAATGTTCATCATTCTCTGAAAGTTCTGTAAGTATTAATGAAGGAACTGGATATGTGTGTTCTATGAATAAGGGAAAAGAATTACAAGACAAAATACACGGAAAGTACTCTTGCTGGAAGTGTGGCAAGATGTTTCTTGTGAAAAAAAAGCTTACTCGTCATTTGCATTGTCACTCAGAGCAGAAAAAATTTTCTTGTGAGAATTGTGGGAAAGCTTTTAAAGAGAAGGGAAGTTTGAGCAAGCATTATGAGACTCATTATCATCAGAATATTCCTTGTGAAATGTGTGGTAAACAGTACAAAAGCAATAGAACTCTATTAAAACATATGCAGACTCACAAGAATTCTAACCACAACTGTGAAATCTGTGGCAAAAATTACAGAACCCAAATTGGACTTGAGTCACACATGACTACACATAGGCCTGGTCCAAGTCAATATACATGCTCAGTGTGTCAGCATGATTGTCGCACTAAACATTACTTGTCGGTTCACATGAAACAAAGACATCAAAATGGAAGTTTTTCTGTTTTTACTTGTCCAGAATGTGGGAAGGAATTCAAGTGGGAATTATCCCTCAAAAACCATTTATTTGTGAAACATGGAAAAGGAAAAGGTAGAAGTTATATTTTTTGTTAATCCCAAGTATCAAGTATATATGTATGTATATTTATATACAGTTATTGGACAAGAAAGTAGAAACACTAAGTAGAAGTAGCTTGATAATGTGTGGCTCTACTTTTGGCTGTTAGAACTGTTTAAATTATTCATAGTAGGGTATGTGCATATTCTTGAAAAGTATGCTTAGAAATTATGTACCACTCCCTAAGGACACAGTTTGACATAAAGCTCGGCAGTCTCATTCACTCATGATTTGTCAACTAAAGTTAAGTTTACCTGATGAGACTTGTGGGATAATTGCAATACCTGTGATAACCCATGATACTGTTCCTCTTTTAAAATCAAGAAGGGAAATTTGGTTCACTAAAGTGCCTATTAAATCTTTCTCGACTGGTGAGCACCTTTCAGGTGTCAACTACACACCTGCATTTCAAATTTTAAATAAAAGCAATATTCTTAACTAGTTCAAGAATTATTTCTTCAAAAATATTTTAGAATTAACATTTTATCATTTTGTAATATTCTGTGTAACTCACAAAGAAAAATGGGGTAAAAAAAATTGAAAGCTACCTTTCTGCACAACCCCAAGGAGATGTCTGTAAACAATACACTTAAGATTTTTGTGAATTTTTCTGCCCCTCCCAAAGCATAGTTTTATATTTACTAAGAAAAAAGTATCATTCCTTGTGAACATAATTATTGTTTTGTTTATTTTATTATTATACTTCTCTTACACAGATATTATTAAGTACATTCTAAAATAATAACACACAATGTTAAAGTGAGTACTGAAGAAACAATACTTTTAAGTATTTTCACACCATTATATGATCTCACTGCATGTTATCTGAAAAATCATTAATGAAGGTCTGCTTTCAAAATAGCTACATGCAACATTTAAATACCACTGGATAGAGCAGTTCATAAACTTCAAATCTGTAGAGCGAATAAAGTGGTGTAAAAAGTAATGTATTGTATTATGGGAAATTGACAAGACCTAGTTTGTGCAGAGAAGAATAACAGAATGCATTGGAAAGTTCAGAAGACTTGAGAACAAACCACATATCTGGGAATGTCTATAGTTTCTTTATATGTTTTTTCTTTCCTTCTTGAAAAAGTTTTTGAGATATACTTCATTGAAAGCTAAAGCAATTTTCTTCTATGACAAAATATCAAATAAACTATTATGTTTAGAAAGTACTGTGACAAAAAATTCTTCCGACTCAAATCCTTATTTTTTGAATACTTACTACCAGTACAATGCATGGGGAAAACATAGGGGGATATTTCCAAATGCTCATTTCCCTGTGTCACTCTCTGGGAGGACCTAAGAAGATATTCTATGTTTGGTGACAGTTGATGCAATGGTTCATCAGTTATATGTGGACACACATACATGCAGACTTTTGTGAAATAACTTATAATGTATTAGAAATAAACTGATTTAGGCCAAAAATATTGTTAGCAAAACTATTATTATCTTGCCTGAATTGACACCATTTTGAAAGGTCAAATCGTCAGTCACTAATAAATACTTGTCAATTTTTGCAGTGTTTTTTTTTATGATTTATAGCTAAAAGTAGTCATACTGCTGTTGGCAAAATAAATTATCAAATGAAATATGCTAAAGAAAATATATTAAATTGAAATTGATTAGCTATATAAAAATTGAGATTCTGGTAAACAGTAAAAGAAATTCAAATTCTATGATGAAAAGAAGTATTTTTTTAATATTCTTTCAAGCAACTGCTTCAAAACAAAATTTTAGAAATTTCCCAACATAAAAAAGAATAGAAAACTAATTCATTCATATTATATTAATTTTTAAAACCAAAACTAGATACTGCTTACTAATTTCTTACAATTTGGTTAAGTATACTTTGAGAAGGATACACCCTCCCTCGTGTGGGAAGAGTTAATCATGCTTCTACAGTTTGTCTTTTTTTTTTTAAAGTTAGGTTAGACTTCTTTTCATGTTGCCTGAAAACATATATTTAAATTTTTAGTCAAATATACAAACCTGTTGTACACAAAAAATCAAATGTTTTACAAATGTATTTATACTCAAGATATGCCTTTGAATTGTTGATCTTGGTCTAACTCAGACTGTGACAAGTCAGAATGCAATGTGATATTCATGTAAAGAATAAAAATACTTTTGTGTATTATACAGTTTACATATTGAATTTGCATAACCTGTGAAGTGCAAATATATATAGAAAATTTCAGTATCCCTGTATATTGTAACTGGTATTTACTCCTGTATCATAAGCTGTTGCTAAATCAGAAATGTATGATAACGTAAATTACCAATAACTCTGACATCAAATATATAATACCATGTTGAATGGCAGTCTGTAAAAAGTTGTGGAATGTGCATTTTTATTACCACCTGTGCATATAGGATTAATTGATCTACTAAGGATCTTGTACATATACCATCTGGGGAAGAAGGGCCATATCTTTGTTGCAGGTGTTTTTACTTTTTTGTCCAACTTCTATTTATTGGTACTTTAGTACAAAACAGTAGATTCATTATGTTTAAGAATCTAAGGCTTTCATGATGATCTTCATATGGAATTGCATAATTCTGATTTTTTATTGGGTTGTCTTTTAAAAAGATGTAAAGAATATTTTTATGGTTGCAAGCAATAATATTTATGTCCCTATAAATAACATTACTCTAAGTAAGAAAAAGCTCAGGCCCAAGCTAGCTTTTATCCAACTCCACTGGTATTATTTTTTAAACTAATCTTTTGTGTCGCATAGAGAAACATTTTAAAGAAAAGAACTACCACTATATGTCCATTTTATGATATAAATCAGTTGCTTCCAACCTTTTTCACACCAGAGACCAGCAAAATCTTTGTAAAATACAAGGAAGTGTTAGAAGTTAATAGATCTCTACTATAATGTATGATTTATGGAAATGAAGTAAACAGAAGTTCTCAAAGGATTCAGACATACTTTCTTTAAAAATGTGTTAATGGACCAGTAGCTAGGAACTGCTTCTGTAATTTTCAGCATGTACAATTATGAGAATAATGTTAATATGTTCATGACATCGTGTGCCACCGGTTGTACATATGGAATTTTTCTGTTGGATGTCGTGAGCCAACCGTGGTACACAGCACCCATAAGATATAACTGTACCTCATAGCTCCTAAGTCCTATATGAAGCATTTATTTTATAAGGACAGCTATAATGAAGCCACGCCTTCCATCATGTACCACTGGTGGAGTACGGATGCCATGTTGAAAGGACAACTGATGATTAAATTAATTTTATTTTAATATTTCATCTAGAAATTGGATTAAATTTTTCATTGTGAGTAATTGAAGTAAAAGAAAACACTAATTGAGACTTCTTTCATAAATAAGAAAACTTTTATGAAGACTGTAATATAATAAGGATAGAACTATTATCATCCACAATAGAGATTACTTTATCTGATGTCCCTTTTTTTACGACCATAAAATAGTGAAATATTCATAATTAAAGATTTCAAGATTAGGCTGAAAAAAAAATTAAATATTATGATCATTTGATTATTATTACTTAAATCATAGTGTGCACCACCAGCCAAAGCTTAAATGGGTAAACACAGGACATTGTGTACCATCGGTGGTGCACTCAAGAGAAAGTTCTCAATGCAGTCATTCTGTCATAAAATTAGCTGTATCTAAGGCAGAGTTCACAATGAGGCCTTACATTCCTATTGCATAATTGGAGAAATCACTTTTTCCATCAGTATGTTAAACTATAACTACATTTATTCATACTTACATACTAGATTTTTAGGCTTGAAAGAATAGAGGTTCTCTAGATATTTGAATAATTCCAATGTATAATAAAATACTCCATTTAATCTCAAGACATCCTCAATATTGAAGTGAGGACAGAGCAAGTGGGATGCTCAACAAATTTATGTACTCATCACAACCATATATGTATATCAGTATCCACTGTTAGAGCTTGGCAATTAACCAACTCATTCAACTACCTATGAGTACTGATTAGTGTCATGTAAAATAATCAACTAATGTTTCTGGTTATTATTACTGTTTTCAGTTATTCCAACTATCCATTAATTGAAATATTGCCATTATAATTTTGCATTATTATTTTCAACTAGCTGGAGTACCTGTCCATTGGATGGGTGAAATAAAAACTTGTTTATAACAATGGATAGGAAATTGTGCTTCTACTTTTTTTTCTTAATAAATTAAACATTAAAAGTGCAAAAAAATACATAAAGGTACCAATACTGAAAAGAAAGACACTGTTTTCAAGGATTCTAACAGTAGTGGTTATATAGTTCATTATAATGCTGAGGGATATACAACGTCGATAATTTTTCCAAAACTAGATATGAACCACAATGACCTTCCTCATATCATCCTGTATCACTGTCAAGATTGTTGCTGATTGTCAAGAAGTGTGAAAATGTATAAGGAACAGATACACACACACATATTGATATTTGTTTATATAAATTAACTCAAGTCCTTTCAGCTTAATTCAAGTAATTGAAATATTGATATTATTTTTGTTTGTTATTAAATGTATAGTTACATAAATGATTATCTGTGCTGTGCTGACCCTGGGTATTAAAACCTGACTTTTAGTACAAATTTCTTTTTGTCAACTTGTAAGAATCATATATGTTTATTTTGTTTCCAAGCCATCTTATAAAAATAATTGTTTGGTTGAAGTTAATCAATTAATAAGTCCCAGAAGTTAATCAATTAGAAGGTTCCACTAATCTACTTTCAGAGATTGGTTGTATATAAGAATGAACAGTTTAGCACTATTGTAATATAAACACCAAATCAATTCTTATCGTTCTTTAGTATTTCTGATGTTAGGAACTCAGTTGAATGTAACGTGCATAAAATACCTACATTTAAAATTAATTTTGCTATACTCATGGAAAATTTTGTTTTCATTTATTGTTATTGGAACATAAGTCAGGATAAATAGATTTTTAAATAAAAATATCAACCTGGCTTAGAATGCTATTTCTTTCAATGTGCATCAACATTGTGAAAATATAGGTGTGATCATCATTGTCCATTCATTAGTTTAAATTTTAGTGACAGAGTGACCAAATATTGTTTAAAAATTAAGAACCCTTGAGAGTTGATAGTATGAAAAAATATTAATTCGTGCATCCTCGTGCATGCAAGATATTCATAGAATTGCCAGTGAAACATTCTGTACTACATTATTTTGTATAATCATGAAACTGTGTACGACGATACACATGTATTCTAAGTGAGAGGAAAGAATTATTTAAGAACAATTATGGTTTGATATGTATTACATTATTATTTTTTTTTATCAGTTTTAAATTTTCTCTTTATTGTCTCTAGAATTTGTTGGCTTATTTCATTTCTGTTTTGTTTCATGTTTGTTGCACTTATTGTTTCCCTACATAAGTGGTTCTTGTCAATCTCCCAGGGGTCACTTCTGGCTGCAATTGCACACATTGTTACTGAATAAACACCTTTTTTTTTTCCAGCAGTCATACAAGACTACTTTAGTTAATTCATATATTACTTCACTTTTTCATGTAGTCAACAGGTTTATAGAAATATGGGCTTCTAAACTCAACTTCATTATTTTTGTTAAGTACATTAACAGTGTTTGAACTAAATAAACAAAACAAAATTTGGGGTAAAAAAATATATACGCATAATTCTTTTTCACTCGGAAAATTTTGGTAACTATATGTGTATCTTAATCAAATATTAGAAATTTATTTGCACCAATCTGAATATTATCTGTATGATTTTTCTTTTAATTTAAAACTGTTTTGTTCTCTGTGAAATACAGTTAAGATTACATGTTGTTGGGTTGTTGTGTACATCCTCTTTTTTTTATTGTTCAATTATTAGAGGTATACTTGTTTCATGTATGACATATTGTGAGATCTGAGAAGCATGATAACAGTGATTAATCAAAATAATGAGTCGGTCCATCTTGTATATGTCAGGTTTACATTGTTTAGTCATTAAATTAGTTTGTCATGAACAAGTCAAATTTGAATGGAAAAATAAAATATGTATTAGATTATTGAAAGTTTTGTATCCATAGCTGATATTTTGTTTTTAGAATAGTAATAACATACTTAGAGTGCAAATAATGTGTATAATGTACATTTTCTTTTCATGAAGTTATATAAAATTATTATACATGTGCTTTTCTTTTTTACTTTTAATGCTCCTATCTAAGAACCAAACAGTGGTAATTTATGTTAGTTTAACAAGCTTAGTTTTCTTAAAATGTTTTACATTGTCTAGGGAAAGGAGTCATAGAATGTGACATTTGTCAGAAAAAGTTTGTTAACAAATACAACTTGCTGGCTCATCTGCCTCATCACAATGAGCTCCGTCCATATAAGTGTGAACACTGTGGTAAGTCAACAAGTTCTGAGTTTTAATAAACAATATATTATTGTAAAATATGATGTGTATTGAGGGTACATTATGATGTTAGTCAGTACTGTAAGTACATGTGCTTGGGTATTGACAGTGCTTTAGTAGCTTTATTAAGGAATCTGACTAGTATTGTACAATCCATAAAATGTGGTACAGCATAAAGATTTCAAAGGGAGAACCAACTACATTATGTCATTGAAATTTAGGAAATTATATTTTTAAGACTTCAAAAATGTAATGATCACAGCTAATACTTAAAATGAAACAAAACCCATCATATAATAAAAGAAAATTATACAAGTTTTAATCTTCACAACATTTTTTTATAGCACATGTGAAAAAAATTATTTGCAACAAAGTGTGATGTACCTCATTTCTCAATTATTTAGTCAAAACACGAATATCAAGTGGTGTTTTTTAAATAATATTGTTAATAAGTGTAGTGTCAATTGGCATATAAAATAATTTTCCTTTTATAGAACCCATTGCAAAATGTGCTTGCCCTTTCAGATGTGGGAGTGCTATAATGTAACAATGAATCCCACTATTCTTTGGTAAAGAGTAACCTAAGAGTAGGTGGTGGATGGTGTTGACTAGTTGCCTTTCATCTAGAGTATCACTTCAAAATGAGGAATGACTGGTGCAGATAACCCTTGAGTAGCTTTATGCAAAACTTCACAAACCAAACACAATTCCATCTGTAATACTTTTGTCTTCTGCAAACTTTTTTAGATGATGAACCTTTTATGAAAATGAAAAACAAGGTAATTACATTCATCTCAGTTAAAATTGATCCTTCAATTTTAACCAATCCATATTTCATTGCCAATTTTTACTTGAACCACTAGTTCTGGACTATCTTTTGTGACTGTTTATTACCACTTTCTTGCTTCTATTCATGGATATATAGTCCATGTTGATCACAACAGTGACAACTTCTGCTTCCTTATCTTTGACAAGGCATTGTTGATACTTCTAGTCTTGAACAAAATATTGTTTCAGTATCGATTGGTTTATCCCAAGTGAAATGCATTGAGTACCTGTGGGATTAATCCTTCTAGATTACAGTTTGTTAATCACTTTTATATTATTTTGTAGAAGATGAACAGTTTACTTATCAGCAACCTTGATCATAGATAACATACCTACATCCCAAATGACATGAGTGAACTGATTATGTGCTGATAAACTATTGTCTTTTGGGTACTTATGTATAGAACATCTGATGTAGGTTTTTAATGTCCTCAGCTAGCTTGGAAATAATTTAAATCTCTCCTCTTCAGTCAATGTTTCGTCATAACCTGAATGCTTCTTTTAACTGTTTCACTATGGACACCATTTTAAACCCCTTTCTGTGCAAGTGACTGAGTTTCATTCAAAATCTAATTAAACAATTTTGCTACCAATGTATGTCAAGGAAATGTACATTATAATGTATGTTCTAATTTGAAGTTTTGTTTTATTTTATCTAAGTTTTATTTCCTTTATTTCAAAAGAAACCTAAAAAACAACTTCATTTCCAGTTTTCTTGTCACATGACCCCCAAGTTATGGAAAATCTCAACTTTCACAGCCTCTGTATTGAATGGAATAAACCACAGCCTGTACATCTATGTCTAGACAATGAGTACAATTACATGCCCTATTGACACTAATAATTCAAAAGTCCTATTGTTGAATCCAGTATAAACAAGTAATATATTTTGCCTACCCCTGATGGATGCCACACCCACCATCTGTACTTTGCTTTGAGGTTTACAAGCCACATATATTTACTTCACATACATGTATATAATTCTCAGAAGGAGCTCATTTTACACTATAATCTAATAATGGTTATTTTGAAATTTGTGCCAAGTTGTTGTCATAGAGTAGATTTTACTGCTTGTAGTATTGTTGGCTGCTTTGTTCATGATAGCACTTCAGTTGTTTCTTACCTAAATATGTTCTAGTTAGAGAGAGAGTTCAAATTGCATTTAGGTTTTATTTTTTTGTCTTTTTAATTATGTATTATTTATGTTTTAAAATGCATAACTGAAAGGTTTAAACATTTTAAAAAGTTATCTCAAACATTGCCCCAGTTGTCAAAGATTACGATCTAGTGCAAGTGTAAGATAAGTTTTACGAAGGCTTGTGCATCTCTCCCAAAGATACTGTACTATGCCCAGATAGTATCATTGATTTGTGTTAAGGTGAATAATATGCTGTAAAGGACAAGAAAGGAAAATGAAACATTAAAAATTAACTATAAGTGAAAAGGTAAAGATGTGAAATTATGAAGATGGATTTAGATCAGTGTTTCCCCAACTATGTTCCGCGAAACACTGGTGTTCCATCTGAGATTGATAGGTGCTCCATGAGAAAATCATGATTTTAAATTTTAATAAAACATTTAACACTTTTTGTATGAACATAACTTATTATGAAATATTTCCCTATGTGTTAGAATTAGATAATATCAATTTCGCATTGAAGAATTATAGAAGATGTCATATCTATTCTACAAAATATCTTAGTGGAGATGTTTGTACCTCAGATATATTATAAGAATAAAAAATGTAAAATTCATTAATATGTAATTTGATTAAATAAATAAAAGAATAATATACAAATCTAGTGGGCACTGCACACACAACATACCTTCTACACTGATAATTCACGTGTCTAGTGTTCCATAAGCTTTTTTTCAGCTGAAAAGTGTTCTGTGGCCAAAAAAGTTTGGGAAATGCTGATTATTCAGCTAAGAGTTAAAAGGTATGTACATATTTCTATTTCTTAATTAATTTTAAACATTTCAGAAAGAAAATGGAAAATAAAATATAAACATTTACCTTAAATAAACTTTTCATATTCATTTAGAGGTTATGCAAATAAAATTTGAAAATTGTATGATGAAGAAACATACTTTTATAATTAAAATTTAAATCACTTTGTTCCTGAACTATTTAGAGTTTGAGTGCAAATAACTGCGATAGATAAATAAAATATTAATAGAAAGACTTAATTAAAATATGTCATTCTTTATGTAAATGATACTTATAATATTTAGCAAAATCTTACTAGTTTTTGGGAGAATACTTTAAAAAATCTTAAAGTTACAGTACCTATTGTGAAAGGGTTAAAAATTTATCCAAAAATAACTAGAAAGAGCATAAAATCTTGACTTAGACATATGGGAATTAAGGGTATCACATCTACTCCTGGGGTGATGTTTTGTGGTGCTGTATACTCACTAGCAGAGTTACAAGAAAGATTGTTGATTGGTTTTATTTGATTTACATTGCATACCTCCAGTAGTTCACATAATGCTATATGAGTGCAAACTGATTTTATAAAGACATAAATCCTGTAGTTTTTGCTAAACTTGTAGTGGTATTGCATGATATTTTGTAAGATATACATTTTCTATGCTGTTGTATGATATTTACAGGTAGTATTTTGTTAGAGATAAATTTGTTCCTTTTTGCTAATCTTGCAGTGCTGTTGTATGATATTTAGAAGTAGTATTTTGTTAGAGATAAATTTGTTCCTTTTTGCTAATCTTGCAGTGCTGTTGTATGATATTTAGAAGTAGTATTTTGTTAGAGATAAATTTGTTCCTTTTTGCTAATCTTGCAGTGCTGTTGTATGATATTTAGAAGTAGTATTTTGTTAGAGATAAATTTGTTCCTTTTTGCTAATCTTGCAGTGCTGTTGTATGATATTTACAAGTAGTATTTTGTTAGAGATAAATTTGCTACTTTTTGCTAGTCTTGCAGTGCTGTTGTGTATTTACTTGTATTTTAGGCTATTTCAGGCAGACATTTATTCCTAACATTGAAGTTAATAAAGCCTGTAGTGTCAGGTATCTTGATTTCAAAACTATATTAATTCCGTTCTAGCAAAGATGGTGATTAAAACATTTATTTCTTAGATATAATAAACAACTACATGTTGACGCTGACTTTGTTGTATTAAAAGTTTTAACACAACAGCAACTGAATGTATGGTTTCCAACCAATATACAAGGATTACAATTCTGTTTAATGGTTTTTAGCTCCCCCACTAAAAACATTGTTCCAGCATCAGTGTTAATGACTGATTCTTCTTTTGTTTTTTAACTTATTGTCTTTGCATCTGGCCTTTTTTTATCAGATTGGAAGCAAGTTAAATATTAATTATGCAAACTGAAACTAAAACTGTGCTTGATAAGTTTCTATTGTGCTTTGTTCTTTTCCATCATAGTATGTTGTTTAACATATTCATGTAAGAAGTTACTGGATAACTTGAAATAATATCTTTCATCATAGGAGGCATGATTGCAGGTAGCATGATAATAACTAGGATGGTACTTTGTGTCTGATTGTCAATTGTTCAAACTTATTTTACATCTCTCTGTAACTTCTTGAATTATAGATGCCTTAACAATGTCCTCTACATCTTTGGACATATTTGTGTTAAATTCGTATTTAATGTTTGACATTTCTTTGAAGTCCGCACAAAATTTCTATCATGTTCTTCAGACATCTCTGTAAGTTGTTTTCACATTCTTGATTTTCATTCTTTAATTTTCCTGCAATACATTTTCATGGTCTTTAGGTATTTTAACTTATTTGAGGTTTTGTTTTTAAAATTTTCTCTCATGTTCTTTTGCCTTTCTATACAAATCTTTATTCCATTTTTAGAGCATCTAAAACATGTTCTCAATTTTATTACAACTTCTCAAACCTTACATAATTTGTGTTGCTCTAAATTCCATATTGTACAACAGTTCATCATCAAGTGTACTGGATTGTAGTGGGATTGACATATCAATGTAAATACGTTTTGTAGATTCCATATAACAATGAAAATTTGTAAAAATTTGTTTATTTATTGCAGATAGCAAAATATTTATTTCTGAGTAACCATAAATTCAGCTATGACTTTCACAATCTAGTATGTAATGTGTTTACATAGAAATACACAATCTCTTAAACTCTTGACTTGAATTTTAATCCAAAATAACATGTAAATGCTTAAGTCTACAATTGCTTTCTAGAAGTTTAAGAAAATTTTCAATTAGAATAGCATTATTTCTATACTTAGAGTGAAATCCATCCTCGCATATTTAAATGAATAGTACTATGAAAAGTATATATATATATATGAATGATTAAAGAAAAAGTCTTAAATTCTTTAGCATTTTTATTTTCTTAAACTGTCAAATAAAACCAATTTTAAATTATAATAACATACTACACTGCAAGTCAGTGTGAAAATGTTAGTTCTTTGTGAATTGTTTTATTGCTGGAATTCCCAATACTTAAAACTAAATTGAAAGTGTATTATTACATTTGTTTTACCAAAAATTAAGAAAAATTGCCATATAAAATTTACTAGTTTGAAACAGTAGAAAATTACAAATAATTATTATTTATTGAAAGTACATGTACAGGTATAAGATTTATATTTTATATGACTAAATCTCACCTAATTTAATGAATGTGACAGAGGACATGAAACTTTAGCTTTGACAAATTTCTGTGATTATAGCAGTAAGCTTGAGGGCTTGTATACTAAATATTAGGATTTGATATCTACAGTAGCCATAGTTCAGATAGCCCATTGTGTAACTTTGCAGTTAATGACAACAAAATGTAAAAAATGCAACCTTGTTTTTTTATGGAAATTTCCAATCTTATTTTTGATTTCACCTTTTATTTATTAGAGTAAAAATAGTTGTCAGCAGGAGTAGCCTGAGGCATATGTGGGAATCTGTGGGAATTTAAGAATGTGAGGTTGAAAATAGCGAAATTAATGCACAATTTTATAATTGTAACTAACCTGATAAAGTAAACTTTCAGTTAAAAAGCATCAAAACAAAATATCTCCTAATAAGTAATGCTTCAAAAATTTAATATATCTTTAAAGAGTGTAACACAAAAACCTAACGACAGTTATGATAAAGCAACAACAACAAACACTATCCAAATGGTTTCCAAGAAGTTTTTAGTGAATCAGAATAGCTCTGTAGTTGTATGGGCACTTTGTGAAAAATATGTGGAAATGTTTCAAACATGCTTCTTGTCGTGACTACTTAAGGACTGAAAAGCAAACTTCAAATTAGTAAATGTAAAAATCCATTGAAATGGAAAATATATCAGATGTGGCCATTTATCATCCTTCACCTCTCTGTTAGTGGGCAAATGTTGCTACTGTTTTGAGTTGCGCCAGTATAGTATTAAATATAATTCCTAATACAGTAGAAAAACTAACTATAAGAAACAGTGTAGAATAAAAAAATAGAATTTTAATTAAAACACATCTTGTTCAAATGTGGGGAAGGGCAGCTGCACTGATTTCACATGCCTAAGGCTGTCCCTGTTTGTAAGAAAGTTTCCGTAATAAGTGACTAGCAGTGTTGTAGAAATTCAATATCAACATACAATATTTGGCATTTCTTCTTTAAAAACAATAAAAGGTTTCTGCTAGATATTTTCTCACAGGGGTAACACATTGGGAAATGAAATCATTTAAATATATCTACAATATTATCAATTAAGTGTTTACTGTATTATTTTTGTTTTCCATTATTGTAGAACTTTTTATTTTTATTATTTAGCTGTGTGTTTTAAATATAAGCACTCCTATGAAAAACATCTTGAGGTGGTTCATAGTGACAAAAAGGAGCATCAGTGCAGTGTATGTGGAAAGCTGTTTAAAACTAAAGCTTACTTGAATGCTCATGAAACCAATGTACATCATTCTGGAGCTAAAGAAGTGTGCAGGTATGTCAGTTTATTTTTGTTGGTTCTATTTTAGCAACAAAGCTGTAATCAGTTCAGCACATTCATTGTAGCAGTATTAAAATATGAGTTAAAATAAAGTATGTTAAATGTTCTAGCAAGAATAAATGATTCAACTTCAGTAAGTATAAATATGTGCTTTGTGCTTAAAACTCTCATATTTTTTTTTTATAAAATCACCTTTATGTAGTCATGTTTTATTGTATGAAATTTTTACTTCATAGAAGGGACTTGTATCAAGCATAGTAGCCAAGCTATATGTGTTCCAACAATGTGTGACACATAGTAAATAAAGATTCTCTAAGGTGTCTTCTAAACAGCTTAAAAACTACTGTTTTATGAAATGACATATGCTTGTATATAGTTACACACAGAAAGCCATAAGTACACATTAATTACTAAGAAATATTGCTTGAAATATTAGCTTTCTTCTTCTAGAAGCTAAAACAACAGTAAAATTATAATAGGTTTTGGTAGCTTCTTTCCAATAGCTATTATTACCATTCTATTTTCTGTTAAGATATTTAACAGTTATTATTGATGTTTTATGATATATACTATAGAATAAATGATGGAGTTGATGTGGACTTCATCAATTTTTAAAAAATATTTTTATAAGTTATTCATGCATGACTTTGGTGATTACAAGAGTACCCAATAATATATGAACCATACAAAAATTTTAAATAAACATAAATAATAATAAATAAATGTAATCAATATTGCAATTAATTCCACTAGTAACTGCTTAGATTCTCTTCAAATAAAAAAATGAGTTTTTTTACTATTTTTTTCACTATTTCTTCTTTTGTGAGTTTACACTGAGTGTCATAACAGGCCCAAATATATATACACTTATTAATATAATTACTCAGTATGTTAATATATGTTTATCCCACTTTAGTTAAGATAAAATTCATAGTTGTTCAAGTTATGTTTGCAAGAATTAAAAAAATGTTGTTCCAGAAACATGTTACAATTCACTAATAATATAGCTATGCTGATCAAATAATTTGGGAAACTTTTCTGCTATTGGTAGTCAGAGTATGAACACTGTACTAGTGTGAAATTGGGCTGTAACTGTTTCAGCATATTTTCAAGGAAAATATATGGTATAATCAAACATTTGAGCATTAAATACCTTCGTCACATTCTTGTATTTTTTATTGTGTAGGATTTGTAACAAGAATTTCAAGACAGCCAAAATACTGCGTGCTCATCTTAAATGCCACAGTGATGGTGGAAAGAGAAAGTTCATTTGCTCTTCTTGTCCTCGGGGATTTGCTTTTCCAAAGGACCTTCGAAGACATGAAAAAGTTCACACTGGTGTAAAGGATTATGAATGTGATGAGTGTGGAAAAGCATTTGCTCGTATGGATAACTTAAGAACTCATCTTAAATTGCATAAACAAGCAGAAACATGAAAATCAGTGAAACTTTGGGAACATGATTGCATAATAAATATTGTGTAATAGAAATTGTGTTGATAGTATCTTTCCCAAAGAGCTAAACTTTTCTTTTGAACTACTTAAAACAGGTTCAGTATAATCCAACTTGATTTTGCCTTTATACCAGCATGTTTAAAAAGCATATAAATTTTGCAGTTGTTAAACTTTAGTTTTGTGGGAATGTTTGTATATTTGGATGTATATAGAAAATGTTTATCAATAATAAAAATTCATTAAAATATCAACCTCATTAGTTTTTCAATATAATAATTTTCTAGAGCAGTGTTTTTCAAAATGTGGCAAGCATATCGTTGGAGGTATGCAGTCATTTTTGAAGGGTTATGTGAAACAAAAGAGGAAAATAAAACAAAATGGAGTAAAATAAAAAAAGGAAGAGAAAAAACACAACCTCCTAAATTTAGAAATAATAACTACTAAACAGCACATTAGTTTCTATATTTTGAACATAAACATTATTTTGTCTACATTAATCTTTTGTTTACCATTAATTTTTATGGAATAGGAAGGCAGTCATAACAGATTAAATATACAGTAGCTAGGTTTGTGCCTAAAGAAAGAGCATATTCTGAACTACACAATCAAAAATATACAGATGACAGTTTGTAAGAAAAGTTTGATGCATATTGAATAAAGTCATTGCATTGAGTAGTAATGGAATTTTTTAAAAATGATTTATAGCTTACTTAAGTAGCCAGTTAAATTATAGAAGTTTTGTTTAGTGTGTGATATGGTTTTAGAGTTCTGAATGTGTATTTAATAGTTATATGAATTATTTATTTGACAGCCAATGTACAAAACAATAGAGTTACTGAAATGTAGTTCATCTCAGCTACTCAGTGGTAACTCTGCAGGTTTATAATGTTAAAAACTGGGTGGGCACAGCACAGATAGCCCATTGTGTAACTTTGTGGTTAACAAACATACAAGCAAATACAGGAAATGGGGCACCTGAGTGCAAGTCGCCTCAAGGCTGAAGTTAGTGACAAATTTCTTTTATGTATATTTATTGTTATTGTTATATATTTTTAACAAAAACTAGAAACTTATTAAATTAGTTTATAAAACTTAAATAAAAATTTCTTGTGATCACTAAATGGGGAAGTTTGCAGTATGAGCATTGTGTGACATAACATGATCGTTTGTTTACCCTAATTTTTGTACCTTTCATTTGTTGCTTTTCAGGTACTGAGAGAGTATTCAAAGTATAATAAAACCATAAAATTAAATTAAAGCAGATGTGGAATGGGTAGAAGCTAAGGCTGTCAGATAAATACTTGTAACTGCCTTTTACCATCTGCAGACACGAAAAATGGTATTATTGATTTTGTTTCATATTTTTCAACTTTTCACTGTAAATGGGTTATTTTATAACATTGAGTTTTAGGGCAGAGAAAGTTCTATAAAAAACTTGTTATTCAATTAGATGGTTCTAGAGGTTATGTAAAAGAAACATGAGGACTGTAAAATTTTAAAGAAGCATTTTTATACTTAGCAAAAAAATCATCTTTCACTAAGACTGACTCAGTAAAGACTTTGTCAATTCACAGACAAATTTTTAGTAAAAATATTTTTAAAAACTGATTTTTTTGTGTACAACAGATTTGTAATACTTACTAAAAGTTTTCTAAATTCCCTGAAGATATACATATTACATTCAAATTTACATTTAGTTTCATAGTTACATGGTGGTTAACCCTGGTCGATTCAACTGAACCTGAATACATAGAGTTAAAAAGATTCAGTAGTACAACAAAAGGTTTGTTTTTGGTAAGGAAAGTTAGTTGGCCTTTGAATACATAAAATAGAAGGTTCAAAGGCCATCTAACTTACATTACCAGGTACAAACTCTTTTTATTGTATCATTGATAAATCTGATCCAGTGATGAACCAAGCTGTCCATTGGGCTGAGTAAAAGGGTCAAAAACCCTCATAGACAAGCTCATTGATGGGCTATCTAGTGAGATAATGAGGCATCACCTGGGTTTGAGAGATAGTTTCTGGTGGCAATGAGAGTCAAAGTCATGACAAGAGAGAGAAAGAAGCCTTCAGTAGCTGTGACACAAACAACTCTACTCAAATGACTGCCTCAAGCTTCACCAAAGATAGACTAGTAGCTAACACATCTTGACACTGCAACTTAACCTTAATGGGTTCCAGAGAATAGATTAGGCTTCCCTGCTACTCCCATTATGTTTGTATTGCAGCTGATACTGATGGTGGCTCTGTCTGGACATTTCTCTGGAAGGGAGGACTAAAGCAAATGTCTTGAATGTGGGCAACTGAGTTACTTAAAGTTGAATAGACAGTATCTTGCTGTGCAGCAACTTAGGTAAAGCTACTAGTTTTGACCAAATGCACAGAAGTGCAGGAATGCTAACAGTCAAATGTAACTGCTGATACTTCACCTTCAGGAAACTAATGCAGCCCATGGGTACAAGATTGAGAAATAGAGTTCCTGGTTGATGCAGGAGCTGCCAGGAAATTGGTTGATTTCAATATGTATCAAACACCAAATGAAGCTACCTCTCTGGCAATTTAACACTGAATGGTGATAGACTAGACATCTCTGACAAAATCTAGGTAATGTTAACCACAAAATAAAGGTAGTTGTCATCAACCCTGATTGTGACATTGGCAATCTATGGAATTATTGGTAAGTTTTGCCTCTGCGATAGGTAAACTATATTTCTATGGGAAAATTACGTAATGTCAACCATGCCTAGGAACACTGGACTGCAAGAGTATATGTTTTGGATGTAGTCATAGTAATTCTGTGTAATTAAGTAGTGCTCTTTGGTTTAATACAGATGAAGTCTTATGCATAGAAACACAGTGATAGTGCTATGTCACATCTGAGAGTGAATACATGGTTGCCAACATACTTTAGTCACAAACTGAATACTGTGTGAGCAGTCTGATTTGGGGAGCTGATGGAGTTGAACAAATATGACATTATGTAGATATAGCACAATTAAACTACCAGTGTGTAAGCTTCTCTGGACCAATAGGGATGTAGTCAGTGCCAAAATACAGCAGATGTTAAAGGGTGGATTTATACAGCCTTAGAGAATGCATCATCACCTCCAGTAGTGATTGTCAGAAAGAGGGTAGTACTCTAAGTCTGTTGCTGATGTGTTGGCAGAACACTGGATGACCTGATTTGTCACACCTGAAGAAATTCCCGAGTTACAGAAGTAATTTCAATAATCAGCATTTCTCTGAATTGTGTAAAGTATTGTGTGTGTGGTGAAGATGTGCACTTTGCCTTATCATCCCAGTCTGATGGTTTAACAGAATAGGTGATTCAAAGTATCAGGTAGATGCTTCCAAAATTTGTTAAACCTAGCAGTATCAACTGGTATGAACGTACTCATGTTTGGTCAGGGAATACTTCTTCCTGTAGATGTACAGTCTGCCCTTAGAGCACATGTGCTACAGTGTCCACAAGAATGTGTGAAGTATATATGTTAGCTGATACAAGTGATTTTCTGTCCCAATAGCTATGAAAAGCCACTGTATGGCAGAAGAGATTTTACAATAAAACAGTTAAGGAATGAAAATTCTAGCCTGGAGATTAGATAGGTCTCTGTTACATGCCAGTGGCACAGAAGTCGCTAGGCCAGTCCTTATCTCATATTCTGACAGATTGTACATTCACATAAGAGTTACAATGGTCATGTGGAATACATTGACAAGTTAAGCTCATATCTTGCTGATGAACTTCATTTGGACTGATTAGACCAAGAATTAGAGGCAGAGACTGACAAGTCAGAGGAAAATATAGAAAGTGCTTCCTGGCTGTACAAGTTGAGGAAATGTTTGGAGAATAGACATAAGAGCTCTGATGGCCAGATAGGATGTCAATGATGACCTCCTGATTGCTGTGGCTGGAATTACCTGCCCCATCAACTATTAGATCAATAACTGAAAGTGGTGTTCTTAGCTTTTTGAGTTATCAAGTAGTATCTCACTATGAAATATATATATTTGACACTATGTGATTGTTGCTACATTATTACAAAGTTAGGATGGTTCATTAATTGCAAGATGAATTGGACTGAAAAGACATTGTGATCTTTACTATCTGAACTTTCCGGCTGAATTTTTATGGAGAGATAATTGTAGGATATTGGATGATAGCTGCTTGATTATCAAACACTTGGGATATCTGTTGTAAATATATGTAATGCTTTGAATATCAACAGTTTGCATATTTGTTATTGATCACTAGGAATTCGAAGCATCAACCAAAGGGTATTGTAACTCTTACTTCACTAACTGTTTTATGATAAAATGGTCTAACATTTTGCAAGGATTTCTTACCCAGTCTAGCAAGTATTAGGGAAATTTCTACAAAGACATTGCTAGACTTTCCCCAGTATACTTAAGTGCAAACTACATATGACTACTTTATGTGCAATGATGGAGTTAGATTCTTTCTCAGTGCAGAATGTTAATCAGGTTGTGTTTTTAAGTGGAATAGTCTTTGTGCCACTAGGTTTAACTGTATTTATTTTTTGTAACACAAACTGAATCTGAATCCATGTGGCCACACATCTTTTTTTACTCACTTTTTGATATGTACAGTCAAATCCTTGTTTTGTTTGGCTATCTCAACTTTGACTGGATTGATTAGACGATTTGTACATTCATTGTCATTTATTTACTAGTATTTATATATGGACAAGTTATATTCTGCATAAGAAGTGACCATAGGGTACCAACAACTGTGACTGAGCTATGAGGCTCAATTGTTACCAAAGGGAAGGCATTAAGAAGGAATCTGAAGTCAACAGAAACTTATGCAGACTTTTTAAAGCTGCTGAACACTTTCCCTACAGTCTGAGGACTGAGACAAAATATAAAGATCAATGTGTCAACAGGGTCTTTATTGCTGTAATGATAGTGTTACGTCTCTGTTCGTTTAATTTTCCGTAAAAATTCTTTCTGAAGAAACTTTAGCGATACAAGTCCTTTCTTAAATAAAACTAGTTTATTCTTTCTCAATACAACTTTGCAATACACTTAATTTCCACAGTCACGCTATAACTTAAACAAACGCTATAATTCACAACAAACGATTCACGCACTTTACCGCGCTTGACTCAATTGTCCGTCTCTATCTCTGTCTGCAATTCAATTTCATTGTTGCCGTCACTTCTTGGCGGTCTTGTATATTATAAAAGCGTACATCTCGTCTATTCGTGAATCTTCTAGAAACTCATCACGTGTTACCAGCGTCACGTGA